TAATATAATATAATATGAAATTTGTGACACAGACCAGTTAGAGGAAATCAGATCTTTTCTGACCTGTGATGAAAATTAGACTGAATTTTTTACTTTATTATGATGGTAGGTACCTGTATAGAGGTGTTTCATATCACACTCTTTGTTGTGATATCCAGCACTTCACATTTTTTAACTCTAACTTTTTATTCAAACTGTTACTGTAACTGTAATGCAGAAGTCGCATTACTAGTGAAACTAAGCCTTCCAATTCCTGTTGAAGTTGACACTAAAATCAAAGTTGCTATATTCATGCTTAAGTTAGGCCCATGCAATAGTGTTTGAAGAGCTGAAGAAATACCCTTCTAGCACAGAAAATTGCATTTTGACTTCGGTAATGCTTTCAGTGTTTCATTTATTTTTGATAGCTCATGCCCGGCTGATGTTTAGGGATACTGTGACTGTGGAAGATGCCATAACTGTGGTATCAGTGATGGAATCTTCTATGCAGGTAAGGTTTCTTGCAGACATTGCCATTGCTGCAATACCACATTTAAGAGATTCAGTTTATCATGTAGATACATGCCAGTCTTTTTTTTTCCTTTGGAGAGGGTTTCATGGACTCATGGAAAGTAGGTCATCAGAGACCTTGACAAGTCATTTTTAGTCCATCTTGATTGCTAAAATTCTTAAACTGAAAAATCTGGATTGATGATAAAGGCCTGGTACCTTTTTTTAATAGACTGCAGTCTAAGTGAAGTTTTGGCATACTATTGACTTTCGTTAATTTACATTTTAAAGACCTTTTGAGGCAGAAATTGTGTCTACATCACTGTATTTATAGCCTTTTATGGGCTTTTTTTCCATGATTTTATCTTGTCACTCATTAGCTAGGTGTGAGAGAACCAAATAGTTTTTTGGAGCATGTTTCAAGCAGTTGCCAAGATCATTTTAAAATATGCCAGTGGTGATCCTAAAACTCAGAAATTTTAGAAGGCTGTTTTACTCTCAGAAACCTTAAAATTCCAAAACTTTGGTTGCACTGGAAGTTGTGCATTCCAATTATCACATGGATTTGTGTAATGTTTCAATGTAAAAAGGCCTTGAAAAAATGTGGAAGGTTAGATTTAAGTTTAACATTGTTAGGATGTTGAGTGTAAAGAAAAAGAAACACATTAATAAAAGGAATAAGACTCTGATAGCTGCTTTTTTAATGGAAATGCAGAAAATAATATAGATACTATTACTTCAGATAGAATACTTTTAAGGGAAATAAATCTTCATGCTTTGAAATAAAAAAAAATAAAAATACCTTAAGCAGATTATCCAAAGTTTTATGCATGGGGTTTTCTAGTACGTCTGGAATATTTGGGTTTGGCTTTGTTAGAGGTGGTGTACTCCACTGCGCAGCTGACTGGTCTGATCCAAAATGGCATTTCCTGTTTCTATATAGATTGATATGAATATATTCAAATGAAAACAATTTTATATAGCACCTGTTAGCTCAGTGGACCTGAAAGACATTTGCAGGAGTAGATATGCTCCTTTTTGAGAGATAAAGCTCTTCAGGATAGATGCACAAAGTCACATACGGCAGGTAGGCACTTGTGACCTCTCTTGTTCCTTCAGTGAGAGCTGAGAGACTAATTGCAGTTTGTGCCACGGGTAACATACTGCACACTGTTGCAAATGGAATTTGCCTCAAAAATTCTGCAGGGCCTGACCTTATTAAGTAGCAAAAGATTATTTCACTGTCTGCTGCAATTTATCTTGCACTGTTTTGAAGAGCTCAGTTTCTCAATGACAGCACTGCATGTAAGTTAAAGTAAGAAGCAGTACTAATATATCCAGTTGAAACAGCAGAAGATATCACGTAAGTGTTCATTAACTGTAATTAAAACTGTAATTAGCTAGATGGGAATTTGATGGGACAGTGGTTTCAAAGCAATATGGTTTTGGATGTAAGAAATCTGTTTCATAACAGATCAAAAAGTGGAATGTATGTATATAATAATGATGAATATGTATTGTCATCTGTGTATCTCTCTACCTCATCAGCACGAATCAATGTAAAAGAATTGGTTTCACTGTGGGTCACTTTTTCATATTTATACAGCCCTGCCCCTGAAGGGCTGCAGTTTGCATAACAAGCATCAATTTAATAAGAGCCAGTGAGAAACCTGCCTGAATTATGACTGCAGAAGACTACCTGGGAGTAGTTGGTATGCTCGTCATATTTGCTCCACTCTTCAGTATTCATGAGCAAGTAGACAAATGAGTTCATTTTTGCTAGGAATTTGAGATCTATTTGAGGCCAAATTCTACTTTCCTCCTGGAAAGTATAAATGAATCACTGAAACAGTTTCTTTTTCAAGGAAGTAATCTATTTGTTTTACTATTAAAAAAAAATAGAAGTAACATGCAAAAGTTTCTTTTCAGAATTAGGCACTTTCCTGCCTAATTGTCAGTCTGTAGAATGAGGTTGTAAATGGGGAAGGACCAGGGCCATTCTTGGAGGACTGGCTGTTCTTCAACATGTCTTTTCAACTTCTATAAAAAGTCATATTCTTGCCAGTAGAAAATCAAAATTCACAGTTCTCAGGTCAGTATTCAGATATTTCTTGTGAGCCCCTTGGCTGAAGTATTATCATATTTTCTTCACCAGCCTAGTTCATTGGGGGGTTTTGTTTCATCCTCTAATTCACTCTTATTTTTCTCTTTCCTAATTTGTCTGTGAGTATATTCTATTTCCCCCTGGCTTGATCTTTTGTTTTCCTCATTTCCTCTTTATTACTATTGTCTCCCTCCTTCTCTTGGTCATGTTTTGATCCTTGTTTTATTCCCTTTCCAATCCCTCTCCTTTGATTCCCATTTTACATTGTATTGGAACAGGTTGCTCAGAGAGGTGGTGGATGTGCCATCCCTGGAGACATTCAAGGCCAGACTGGACGTGGTTCTGGGAAACCTGCTCTAGTTGAAGATGTCCCTGCTCATTGCAGGGGGGTTGTATTAGATGACATTTGAAGGTCCCTTCCAAGTCAAACTATTCTATGATTTTGTTTTCCCATCCTTAGGCACTTTTACACCCTTACTTTCTGCTCACTTTCCCTGTAATACTTCCTCCTGTGTCTCTCTGTTCTAGATCCTCTGCCCTCAGTTCCACAGCATATGGATTTGTCATATGGCTGTCTTCCTCTGCTCAAAATGGTATCTCAGAGGGGCACATATCTCAGAGACATAAGCACCAGCATAGAAATGAAACTTCACAGATACCTTAGTCCCATCCCGCTTAGAATTTCACACACACACAAAAGAATATATAAAAGAAACTCATTGTGATGGCCAAGTAAAGCAATGAAAGATCAGTGATGGCAAGATGTAATTGTACCCCTTGGGTGCATACCTCAAGGTATATAATAATTTATTCGGTTTTTTTCCCATTGGATCCTTAGGTCACATGTAGATAGTACTCAAGCCAAATGCAACTATCCTTTGTTAGTGTTTTGTTCAATGTTTTGTTTATTATCTGGTGTTGTAAAGGTGGAATTCTCAATTTCTTCGCCTGTTTTTTTCTGTGGAGTTCATCTCCACTGTACTTGAGTATTTCAGAAGTATCAATTCGCTTATCTTCATGCAGTCCTCTAGAAGTGGTGGAACTGTGCGAGTCCTGTTCTATGACTTGGAGCCAAATTATTTCTTATCCAAAAGAAATTGTCTGCTAGAGCATACCACATGACAGATAATTAGGGCCTCAGTTTCAGAGTAGTACCTCTTGGAGTACTCAAGCACATTTCCTGTTGACTGCAGTTCTCTTCTTTGCACACATCAGGATCCAAGTTGCAGATTTATTGCTTTTCAAAACCTTTGCTTAACTGACATTCTGAATCACAAGATCTGGAACTTAGTGTCAGAGAGAGAATCTAGTTCTCCTTGGCTGCTTTTAAGTGTCCTAACCAAGAGACTGGACTTCTGCAGCCCCTGTCTCATTAACTATGAACCGTCTGGTCCTTAAACAGTTACGACAGAGAGGTTCTACAACGACCTTTTCCATGGCTGCAGACTAATGCTTCTAAGTGGAACAGATCTCTCATGTTCCTGAAGTGATAGGATCTAAAAAAACCCAACAAGAAACTTCAATGGGATGCATTAATGGTTGCAGGAACAGCCTTGGTTTTAGCACTGTGTAGTTTTAGAGGGCTTTCATTCACCAGAATAATTTTTTTCAATGTTGGGGTTTGTTTTTTTTCAATTCAAAATTTTAAAATTTCAAAATGGAGGAACCAGAAATTGCCATCAATGAAAACGTGTGGTCTGTGTGACTCCATATGGAGCAATTCCTGGTTCTAGAGACTCTGCTGACTTTTGCTATTGCTCTCACGGCACTTGATATGCATCTTGTTCATTAGTTGTGTTGAGCCTTATGGACTAGACAGGAGTGGTAAAGGCTGGCCAGTCTGTGGCAAAATAGGGGGTTTGTGCTGTGGAGTTTTTTTTCCGAAGAGCGATTATCTGCAGTGCTATTCTAGATTATTTGTTGTGGAATAAATCATTTTGTGCAGATGCTCTGTTCAAAATAAATACTACTTCATTTTCACAAGGCACAGCAAATTTGTCCCAGATTAAAGTCACTTTATTTCTGGAATTACTCCTGAAGAGGTAGTTACTCTTAAAGAGAAATATTTTTGCTGGTCAATTTGCCCTGTGCTGACAAGCCTTAATACTCGTCTCTTTCCATTCAAATAATTAGACAAAGCTAATGAAAACTTTCAGCAGTCAGAACTTCTTCAGTTATAGAAGTTGCTCATGTGGCAGAATTTTGACAAGGTATTTGGAAAACTTCTTCAATACTAATTTCCATTTTTAGTCCCGATGTTCTCAAGCCTTAGGTGGATTTTCCGTTTTTTGTATGAATAAAAATAAAGCAGTGCTTGTAAACTGCAGGTTTGATCATATAATTGCTTTATGTGTACGGCCACCTTTGCCCATGTGAGCAGCCCTAACAGTGTGAATATAGTTACTCAGTAAACATTTGATAATTTAAGCTTTAAAAAATCCAATGGAGAATTTTGAATGAAATGATCTCTGCAGTTTAAATTTGGTGCTGATTTATAAAGATAGCTTCCTTTTTTTTTTTTTATTTTTAATCTTTTTGGTGACATAGGGGTGTGCACTTCTTGGAGGCATCAATGCCTTACACACCTCATTCCCAGAAGATCCAATGGCACAGTACCGTACACAATGTGAACTCATATTGGAGCGACTGGAACTGCAAGACCTTCTGCACAGAGAGCTACAGAGACTTGACAGGTATAATGTGCAAAGTAACAAAATAATTCAATAGCGAAAAATAATTGTTTGACAATAGTATCTGGAGGGGGTGTAAAAATAGAATCTGACATTGGGAAGGGAATAAGCATGGTGAGTATTTTAAAGCAGCACTCCAAGATCATCACAAGATCATTTCTCCTTCTGGGTTATGGCATATATAAAGAATTTAAGAATGGTTCAATCAGTTCCCAACTCATATCTCAATTCTGTGCTCAGGTAATTTTCAGCAGAGCTTCTTAGGGTCAAAATGTCAGATTCTGTAGCTGAGCAAATAATTTTATATAACCTTTTGTTACCTGCTTGGTAAAATACAACAGATCTGCTTCATATTTTTTAAGCTGCCTTCTGTGTTGGGCTGGTCAGGCTCCTTCCCTTTCTGTTAATGGAAAATATAAGCCTGAATCAAAGTTCACTTCTTTTTATTTTTCCTTTCTGTACGCTGGAATTTTCACTATCTGTTCCCTAGTTTTCAGGTCACAGCAATAATCTTTGGAAAGTCTATTTGCTGTTATTAATAGGAAACCTTTAACATACTGAGTCTGAAAGGCAAACACTGGTATTGCAAAGGAAATAAAATACAAAAAAGTATAATTTGTTTCCTGAAATGAGATTAGGCTCTAAAGAAACTCATACTTCTCATTGTTAAAGGAAGAGATAAGATGAATATTATCCAAACTAATGGGAACAGCTGGGAAAGTACACTTTTTCTTTAAATATTTTTCAGACTTACTTTGTAACTCCTAATAAGAACATTATTTAAAACCACAGAGGCAGTAAAAGAAGATGAAAGTGGGATATCTACAACGGACAGACAAAAGCTGGTTTTAATAAAAACAGAGGTGTTCATAAGAGATCATAGACATGTAGGATGGTATGAGGGATCATATAGCAGAGGAACTGTTTACAGTGCATAGGAATCATTTCACCTACACTAATGCAGTCACTTTTGGAATGGAATGTGGCTGTTTTTCACTAATGGGTAGAATCACTGTTTAGCAAGGAGTAGAATGCTATCTCCCTTGGATATTGTCGTGGTTCAAGCCCAGCCGGCAACTTGGAACCACGCAGCCGCTCGCTCACTCCCCCCCTTTTCCTTCCTCCCCCCGCTCCCGGAGGGATGGGGAGGAGAATCGAAGGAATGTAACTCCCACGAGTTGAGATAACAGCTCTCCAGTAACTAAGGTATAATACAAACCACTGCTGCTACCAATAATAATGATAAGAGGAATAACAAGGGAAAAGGACACAACCGCTCCCCCCCCGCCGACCGATACCCAGCCCGACCCGAGCAGCGATCTGGGCCTGCCGGGTAACTCCCCCCAGTTTATATACTGGGCATGACGTGCTGTGGTATGGAATACCCCTTTGGCCAGTTTGGGTCAGGTGTCCTGTCTCTGCTTCCTCCTGGCTTCCGCTCCTCTCTGGCAAAGCATGAGACTGAGAAAGTCCTTGGTCAGAGTAAACATTACTTAGCAACAACTAAAAACATCGGTGTTATCAGCATTGTTCCCAGACTGAAAGTCAAAAACACAGCACTGCACCAGCTACTAAGAAGGAGAAAAAATGACTGCTGTAGCTGAACCCAGGACAGATATATCTCCCCAAACATATAATATGTTTGGTACAATAACAGAATATCAGATATACTGAGATTGGAGAGAATCCTCATTCTAGTACCTCTGTTGTATTGGAGGGCCCTGAAGACATTAATAGCCACAGACAGAGATAATTAAGTTTTGTAGGAAATCTGTGATGTTTTTCCTCTTACCATGTGGAGGTTTTGAGATGTTGAGTCCATAGCGATTGTGATAGAAAGCCACAAGAAACCACAATTCCAAGTAATGTCTAGATTTTCCCTTCTGATAACTTATTTACAGTCTTGCCTTGCTCAGGATAAAATATAATGAGATTCTTGTTGTAGAATATAAGCTTACAGAATGTGTAATCCCTAAGGGACCCTAGCAATGGTTGTAAGTAGTGCAAAGCTGTTTGTTTGTTTTTCTGTTTGTCTCCCAGGGAAATGAAGTTTAGGTGGTTGCTTTCTCTGTCCATCTGCCTGTCGTCTGCTGGGGACACTAAATACTGCCGCTTACTCTAGAAGGTGCTGAAAGATCAGAGTGAAAGATCAGAGGCTGCAACACCAGCTTTTGGAGCTATATGTGAAACTTAATAATGCACTTCTGTGATTTACATTATTTGTAGCTTCTCACCATTCATACATACTAAACATCACTAGTGCAATAAAGAAATAAAAAAAAAAAAAAAGAAATAACTGTCACTTATCTTTTGTTTTCAATCCATAGATTACAAAAGGAAAATTTAGGCCAGCTGCAGCCTGAACAGACAAGTTTCAGTACTACTACAAGATGCTTGAACAAGGATATATTTGGGCAATCAAAGCAACTGGATCAGTCAGAACCTTCAAATCAACAAGAGAATAACTCCAGGCCACAGCCTTCTTTGCCCAAAGGCAGCTGTGAAGGGCAAGAACATCTAGAACCCTTGTGCGGCCCAGCACATGGTAATAGCAAAAATGCAAACCACTTGATCAGACATAGTAGGAGAGGTGATGAAGGCAGCTTGGCATGGTTTGACAGCCTGGAAGAGAGCAACACTGATGCTGAAGAAACTTTTCAGAAAAAGTCTCCAGTGCCCAAGATACCTCAAAATAACTTGACTTCAAAAGCCCTATGTAAAACATCCTGTTCTGAAGAAAGAAATGCTTCAATACCAAGGAAGGAAAATGGAATGAGAGAGTCACAAGCAACTGTGAATCTACATGCTCCTTTGGAACAGGACAAAGTTTCCAAGATAAGCAGGACAAGGATGGAAAAACACAACTGTTCTTCAGAAGCAAATATTGAAGACCCGGCATCACCAAGTGCTAGTGTGCAGGATTCGGTTATTACACAACGGGTTTCTAAAAGCTGTCAGAGAGTGCACACGGAGAAATCACATGGATTCTTTACAAGTACGCAGGACCCCAGGGCAAAAGCTTTTCCTTCTGTATTACCTGCGTCTGGCCTGTCAGATCTTTCAAGTGATGCAGATTCTGTGCTACAGGAGGAAAAGAACAGTGTATCTGTAGCAGCAAAACCAGCAACAGTTTCCATGAAAAAACGAAGTAAAGGTCAAGTAGCAAAGGAAACCAAGGTAGTAGGTTCCCATGAGCCAGAAATCCTTGATGGTGAAAGTCCTCCAGCAGCTAAACTAGCTAAATTTTCTTTCAGAGCAAGGACAAAACTTGATCATTCTTCAGAGAAGAAAAATGAAGAATTTTCTGTTTTTCAGAGTGAAACTATTTTTAAGCCTGGAGAGCAGCTCCAGGGAAAGCAGCTGCTGGAAGAATGCTGCCCCCCTGAGAAATGCAAGATGTCATTGAGTCGCTTAGGAAAAACTCATGTGGAAAAACGATCAATTGATAATAAAGGGAGAGAAGAGCAATGAAAGAGATCAGAGAAAGTGCAACAGTACGCTCTGATGTCAATTTTGATGCTGTGTCATCTCCACCTGCTGAAAAGAAAAAGGAGGGAGAGGAGAAGCTGAGTGGCCCCAGCACAGGGAAGGTGCGCTCCAGCACATTAGCCAAACTGTCAACATTCTCCTTTGCACCACGTCCTGAGTCACAATTGGCAACCTCACCTACCATTAAGGTTGACACTAACAAGGAAAGCCACAGCCTGTTGCTGAAGGTGCACATGAGCAATCCTAGCAGAAGGAAGAGTTTTGCATTGGGAAATGCTAGTAAGGCCAGTGTGGTCACACAGAAATCTCTCTTCTCGATAGCAGAGCTAGATGATGCTACATTAGATTTTGATTGGGATGAGGAGGTTAAAAAAGATCCAAGCACATAACATACATATCCTCCAAATTTCTTAGCATGTGGTTCTTCTGAATCTCCATCCTTCCATCAATTGTATCCATAGTTTACAAAGTATTTAAAACCAATCATCCTGGACCTCTGTTGATACCAGTGAACACACTTTCTTTAAATGCTGTATACTTTACATCAGCTAAGGACTGCATATAATGCAGGCCTGATGTGGCTTTCGGTTCCCAAGACTACATATATCAGTTGACTCTTTTGATTGACCTGATGTAACCTGAAGGCTCGTATGTATAGTACAGAGTATAGTGAATCTTGCAGAACAGCAGGCCTGGTAATTGACTGTTATCTTTTATTTCCTGTAATGGTTAGAACTCTACATGATTCAGATTGTCCTTCCAAATTACTATGCCATTTTAGGAAAATGATGATGCTAAAGCTATGTTATTATATTTTGCTCTTGTATATGTGCTGTTTGTCTCAGTGTAGTTAGCAATATCATGATTTATCATCATGCTATGGTAAGTATTTCTGTATTACCGGTATCATGACAATTTTGCTGTATCTCTGGTTACTGTGCTGGTTACAGTTGTCACACTGCTGATGTTGAAGACATGGATCAAGAGCTTTTTGTTTCTGGGGTGGTTTTTTTTTTGGTTGGTTGTTTGGGTGGGTTTTTTTAATTTTAAATACACTGATTCAGATCTATGTCTGTATTCTGGGTCATTTTATCAAAACCCAACTCCATAATAAACATACGGTTCTCCACTGCAGAGGCACAAAATTCAGGTGATTGAATGGGAGTCCTTGGTAACTAACTTTCTTGCATATAAGCTACACTTCAAACATAGCAGCGTGGTGAAGAGCTACTCTAGTATAGCTTGGCTCTGACTCAGATAATGTTTACTTGACTATTTTAATTGTGATTAGAGTTCTGCTGTATCAGATATGCAGTTTATCTTCTGTAGCATGCTGCATCCTCTGTCATTCATTTGCTAAAGGAAAATTAATCTGCTAATGCATTACATGTTTACAGAGAAAGGTAAACCTTAAATTCCTTCCAGTGACTTGCCTGGTATGTTTCTTCTGTATTTGAATTCTCCACAGAATATTGTTGTTATTACCTGCAAGATAAACAGAAAATGGAGTGACTGCTTACAGCACAGTAAATCCTTTGTGAGGCTTGATAGCACAAAGAAGATTTGATTCTCTCTTGATTTGCTTAAATTTAGAGGTAGATCCCTTGAAAGCAGGTGAGCTGAAGTACTGCAGAATTTCAGAGAATGAGGGAGTTAAAGGCCCAGGTACTTTGGTGTGATACAGTGAAATCATGAGAACAGTAATTCGAGTAGTTGGCTTATTGTGGAGAGTTTGGGAAAATGACAGAAACGTTACTGTCCAGACTGATTGTGTGGTGGTTCAATCAAAATAAGTGGAATTTATCCACCTCCCTCCCAGAGCACAGAGACATCCCCTCCTGTTCCTTTCTCACAAAGACCTATGCCAGGGTTATGGTGACCTGCGGTCATGATTCTACTGCCTGTGGAAATCAGAAGTTCTATACAGGATGCTGTTTCTATGTTGGAACTGGAGAAAGGTCAAGAATCCTGGAGCTATTAACATTTATTATGGTCTTCATACTTGAATTTTCACAGGCCAGAACAGTTTTTCATCACTACTGGAGCTACATCAGCCCCTTACAAGGTGGTCTCATTTACAATCAAAAATCCTCCTTGCTAGCTGTTTAGTTTGATGGATGTTACTGGCTGGCCAGTGCAAAGCCAGAACATAGCTTCTGGGTCCCCATAGTCCAGCATCATGATCTTTTTTTTTTACCATCTAAAATTATATAAAAAATTAGTTGAGAAATTTCGTCCACCTATGCTGGAAATGTTTTATTTCTCACTTCCTTATAAGATCAGTAGCTAAGGTTCTCATCTAATGCAATTTGCTATGTAAAGTTATGTGATTAGCTGCTCCCAAGAACTGTGGGCTCTCTTCCGAAATTCTTTTTCGTGGGAAGCTGGTTGACTTTCTTCCCTTTGCCCAGTGGAAATTAGAACTCTCTTTAAATTAGCAGAGTCAAAATGGCACAAAATTGAGGTGAAAGTCAAGCTCAAAATTTCCTTCATATTCTCCATTCTTATGCTGTGTTTGAGAAGGTTCTGATTTTGTTATATTCTGCTTGTTTCAAAGTTGTTGCACTGTAAGATCTGCCTGAGGGCCAGGGAAGCTTCACAGTGAAGCGGAGCAGCTGTATTGCAGGGAAGCTGAAATGCCAGGTAATGCAGCCACCTATCTTCCTTACTAATGAAACATCCAGAGTCTGGTGAAGCCAGGGAATGCCCAGTTAGCACCAACTGTGAGAACTGGGCACTCACAGTCCTGTGGTGTCCTCAAACCTGTACGTATATTGTTGCAGGTGAGTAAATAGAAGATAATTAAACCAAGTTTATTTTTTCATAGATGGAAAGTGTTTCCTCTGATCCAGCAGTAAAACTCAGACTAGAATACTGAGGTACTGTGCATCCCACAGCTTTTCCAGTCAGACAATACTAATCACATTTATGATCCTCTTCAGTAGCAAGTGTGGCAGATAAAATACTGTCAGATCACCCTCCCCCTTTTTTTTTTTTTTTTTAATTCATCTGTTTGAATTGAAATCTACTGTTTAACTGTTCTTTTAAAGCACAGTCAGAGCTGTGGACAAGCTGGCAACTTGCCGGAGACTGGATCTCTTATGATAGGTGGGCTCAACCAGCTCAGTATATTGCCAGACCTTTGGGATACATCCTTTCACTGCCTTTGAGCAGTATGGCCAAGCAAGGTGTGTGTATTGACATACCTGAACTCAGAGGAGGCTTAAATGTGTGAGCTATTCTGCAGGCTTGCTGAAATGCCCCAACAGCAAGAGGAAAGTTGCAGCAGCTTCTATTACAGCATGTCTAGAAAGGACCTTCGATGCTTTGCAGAGAACAGAACCGGGAAGGATAAAGAAATACCATGGCATCTGAGCTCCTGCTTAACACGGACAGATTAGCCCACTGAAACCAAGGTTTTCACTAGTAAGTGCAAACTTAGTACATTCAGTCCTTAATGGTCACCATTTCAAGGCCTGATTTGCAGATGTCCTGAGTACTTAACAGCTGCATCTTAAATCATTGAGACATGTAAGGTGCAGTGTAATTATAATTATGCTCTTCTGACTGCATTTCTCTCATGTTCTTGGTTGTGAAATGGCCTCTTCAAGAAGAAATGGTAGTGGGTGGTCTCACTTGAGATACCCTGTGTTCTGGGAGTGGAGGAAACAAGAATGTGATACAGCTTCAAACCTGTTCTTGCTGAGAACATCTGAGAGCCAAAGACCTCCCACATTCTAGTACCTCTCTTGACTGGATTGCAAGTCAATCTTGCACCCCTCAAAACAATACCTTTGAGCTCCTTAGGACAAATTTGATAATGCCTAGGAGACTTTTCCATACCAGTGAAGGAATCTTGTCCGGAGAGCTATGCAGCCCTGGAAAGGGCATGGCTGGGTTGCTGTCTGCCTCTTAGGTATGTTTTAGGTATTATTAACAGGAAAAAAAATAAAAACCAGAAAAAGCTCTGTTGTCATTTCAAATTGCCTGCAAAGACCGCCTGGTCACCTGAGTGTGTTAGGTGAGTAACCAAAGAATAAATTTGGAAGAGCAGATACTGCTGACATCTTTCTTTACCAGACTCGTTGAAATACTACTGTTATGGTATTGGTATTGCTTCTGATTCATAGCATGAATTCAGAGCATTCAAGATAAATGGGAAGCACACAGTAATAAGAAAATTATACCTGCTGCTGGTTTACTCTCTCCCTCACCGTTGCTGTTGCTACAGAACCCATTTATCAGTGCCTTGGCAGGGAACATTGCTAACTTCTTTTGGTTTTTAAACCAACTTCCCCCACAAATAATCATACTGTTTAATGTTTTCTCAGTCCTAGAATAGCCCACTGGTAGGAGGATTTAATCCATTCTGGCAGTGAGAGGCTCCTGGGCTAACCTACAGATCCTCTGCAAATGATTTGTGCAGTCAATGGGCAGTTAGGTCACTTCCTGCCAGCCTACCTTCCTGGCCAGGCGCAAAGCCATTATCTCCTTTAATATGTGCCTCTCTTGAGTTTATGGTCTTATAAAAACCTGTCCAATGCGTCTTCTCAGGATGACTATATACAAACACGTATCAAGCCAATTATTCCTGTTGAATACACTAGTATTTCGTTAAGTGTCATTCATTAAAGGTGAATATAAATGTTGCTGTCTGAAAACTCAATTGAACCAAACCTTTGAAGCCACTGGTTCTAGCAGCATGTTGATCAGGTCCTTGTTTGTGAACACAGTGTTGTTCAATGTCCAGTGGCCAGATTCCACTGCCTTGGTTGAAACCAGATTTCATCAAGTCAGCATGGGACAGGATCATGGTTTTGCTGGCACTGTCCCATAGCAGTGTTCTGCTGGATGGCCCATGCAGACATGCTGATGAGTCAAAGGGAAGTGGAAAGCAAGAAACCCAACAATTTAATTATATTTTTATATTGTTCAGTTATATTTTTCTTTAAAAACTAATGCTTCATCATAATTCTTTTAATCCTCCTGAGCGGCAGTTTTGCTGGAGAAGGCACAGCCTTGGCTGAAATGAGACCAGACTTAAGTGAGACCCACTCTCCTCCAAATTAGGAGCCCAGGTAGGATATCCTGGACAGTCATGAGGTAGCTCTGCTCAGTGCCTGCATCACTCCCCATTCACCAGTACTTGGGAAGAGGGAGCTGTGAGTAAAAGTTCTCTGTGGTTATGTACATCACTGGTTGTTTTACAGACCTCTCTGGTGGTCTGTCTTCTCACTTCTTTTATAGCTGAAAAGTCCTGATGAAAGAGGCTCCTTTGGACCGTTCCTCTCTACTTTCCATTTACAGAAACAGGCTACTGACCACAGCCAGGGCTCATTTTCCAAGCTGGATGCTGTGGGCAGCAGTCTTTGTAAGGAGAAGATGAACT